CGCAAGCTCCTTTGGTTTCCTAACGTCGTGTTCCCTTTGGATATCCCAAGTTGGGTCTGGGCCTATCTGGTGGGAAGGGTCGGAGGGTGGGGCTGGATGTGATGGAGAGAATGGAGAGAGGATGTCTTCGAGGGAGACGCCTACTTCCGGCAGGCCTGCGGCGGGGGCAGCGGCAGCGCTCCAGGCGTAGGGTTCGTCTGCGGACACGAAGCAGCACAGCGTTAGGGCGAGCCACGTCCCCTGCTCCAGCTCCCCCGCTCGCCAAAGACCCGGGCTGGCAGCCAGGCGGCTGCGCTCTAGGGCCCCCCGATACCCCCTCACTGCCAAGAGGGCAGCAGCCAGCCGCGCCCAGGGACTCGGTCCCCACCCTCCTTTAGCGCCCCGGGGTTCAAGGCGCAGCTCCGGCCTAACCCCCTTGCCCCAGTCTGCTCTAACTTTGGTGTCAAGCCCAGCGTGGACCCTGACTTGACAATGCTTAAAACAATGGCTCTCAGCCTGGATCCACCGTGGTTAGGAAACCTCACATTGCCCAGCGGCAAAGGGATCAGGGGCTTCTTTCTGTTTTTTAGCAGCAGCCGGGGATTCTGAGGAAGACGTTTCTGAGGGCCAAGATTTAAGAAACGTGGGTCAGAGCCCTCTTCAAAGGAGTTGGGCTAGTGGTTTTTCTCAACCATTAGGTGTCGCCCAAAGCGTAATAATCCTCAGCTGGTTTGGGGATTTGGATTGATTCATTTGAAAACTATCATTGCTGTCTTCCCTTAAAAGAAAATCTTTGATTTTTTTTGTTTTTCTTTTTCTTTTTTTGGTAGTTTTAACATGGATGGCTTCTAGACTAAGATATATGGGACTGTTTCTAGAAAGCCTAGCTTCAACCTGGAGGATTAACTGTTTACTTCCAAAAAGGATGTATGTGTGTGTGTGTGTGTGTGTGTGTGTGTGTGTGTATGTGTGGTAAGAAATGACCAAAAACACTGGCCAGAAGCCAAGTAGGGAACAGATGTGTGAGAAATCAAAGATGTGTTAGTTACGACCACGAACAATAACATTACCCTTGAATTTCTATACCCTAAGGGAAAAATAAAGCAAAGAAATTCAATACAGAAACCCTTGATATTTGCGAGGAATATGTCTCATGACCTTTGAAAATCCTCAAATTTTGTAATATTGTTCTAGAATTTAATTTTCTCTAAGGAATTGGTATATGAGTCAGGGGACAAAGAAGCCACATGAATATTGAATTCTGGGTAGCTGGTGATTCTTCTGCACTGGTAGCTAAGCCACCCCCTCCCCATAAGTCTTAAGGGTGTGATTCCATTTCCCCACCTCTGTAACAGGGGGCAGAGGTGAGCAAGGATTCTTGGTTGTATCCAGTCTGTGCATACCAGGAGTCTGCTTTGTTTAAAGCTGAGAATTCTCATATAGTACTTCTAAATGTGACTTAGATGAGGATAAAAAGATAACAACGGAGCTGATGAAATCTGAATAGGTTATTCTGGGCACAGTGTTATCTCCCTTCTCTCCATAAACTGATGTCTGTGACTATTTTCACATTGTAAACCAAGAGTCCTTGGCTACCTTAGGAATAATCTGGAATTAGTGGATGTGTTCAGTGAAAATGTGAATATATCCTACTGGAGGCTAGTGTTAAAAATCAATGTACAATAGAAAGTGGCAACTTGCCAATACAGGAAAATATTGCCTAAAGCCAATCCAAAGACCTGGGATAGTTTGTGCAACAGTCATTTCTGACCAGGACCGTGCAATGGCATTTTGTATGTTAACAGCTATTTTCTCCACCATTACATCACATATGGTCGAGTCAATTAGCTGGCCTTAAATTACTTCTGAGGCACAGGGAGAAGGCTGACATTATTTATACCCTTTCCCGAAGAAGGAACTGAAGCAGAGAGAAGGTTAAGTAGCTTGACCAAAATTATAGAATGGCCACCCAAGAGTAACATTTTGGGTTTCTTTACCCTTTTTACTGACTGAGAAAATCGTCCCAACCTATTGCCATGCAAATAAGGCAAAGCATGTGAGACAGGTCTCAATGGTCGTCCGGTGTAAAGGGACTGGTGCCATCACCCACCAGAGTACCTAGTGTTTGTTCCTCAATATCTATTGACCATATGTGTGGGACTGAACAGGAGGGTTCTCATCAGACCACACATGTAAGCAGCTGTCATTATCGGCCTGGAGTCATTTCTGAAACCTTGTTCTTTTTCCTTCTACTCTTTCCTATCTCCAGTAACTCTCTTTATGGTAAGCTAAGGATGGGTTTACCTAAAAATACAGATCTTACCAGAAAACTATTTTCAAGAGATTTTTAATAAGTGATTAAAAACTGTGGAGAAACGAGCGTTTTGTGTTCTAAGCTACTACCTATTAAGAATATTAATCAGAAATTAAAATTAATTGTGTATAGAGTAAAATATCTCAGAGGTAGAGATCTACATGTGTGTGCATTTTTGATTTCTGAGTAAAGGAGCTTTGTAGTTCAGTGCTGGGCATGCAGCCCCCACACAGGCATGAGCTTGTGAAACTCCATAAGGCGTCTCGATGACAGCCCTTCTATGTACCTTGTCCTGCCACCTACTTCATCAGGTGAGATGCGTTGGGGACAGGAAGAGCCCTTCTCTAATCTTTAAAACTCTAACAGTCATGACATCATGATGTACAATGAAACAATCACTCAAATTTAGTAATTTCATTTCTGACTTCATGGCTTGATTCCGTTAGGTTTCTTTAGGCCATATTTTCTCGTTTTCCCTCCCCCATTCTCTGCTTTCTTTCTTGTACCTGGGGACAGGCAAGGGTGTGTGATGATGGGCCCAGCACAGGCTAAGCTGTGTTGTGATGATGGGCCCAGCACAGGCTAAGCTGTGTTGTGATGAAGGGCCCAGCACAGGCTAAGCTGTGTTGTGATGATTGATGGGCGCAGGCTGGGGTGTGTGGTGATGGGCCAGGCATAGGCTGGGGCGTGTGCTATGCTCATTTATTAAGTGGTTGAGGAAGATGTCTTTACAGCATCTTCTCTGAGATGCTCTAACAGGAGATATAACAGGGATGCATCCTACAAAGTTGAAACAAGTCACAGCTGGCTTGCTGGTATTTCTGCAGCTGCTCTTTCCAAGCAATGTCCCAGGTACAGTGGCTAAAACCAGATTAGTGTTTCCTCTCCTACCCTACCCAACTCAATGATACTTTGTGTCAAATCTAGAGGCTACCTCTGTGTATTCACCTTCCTATACTACATTTGCAAGTATTTCCGTAAACAAACTGGACTCATAATTTCATGACACCCCCATCTCCTGCTCCTCACACTACCTTTCTTTCCCATGACCTCGTTAGGGATTTAGTCTTCGGAAAAAAGCTCCCAATGTTCCCGTTGACTTCTGTTCTACCTGATGGTTCTATGCTGGTTTATCCGTCTGCCTTCTTAATATCTTTCTTTGAAAAATGTATTGTCTTCTTCAATACCTCAACTAAAAAGCTGTAAACCTTCCCTTTGAAGCTATTCTCCACCCCACCTCATTGTCTCGCCATGGCAGACAGGGCTGTAGTCATGTGATATCACCCTGGATCCCTTTCTCTTATCCCACAAATCCAGTGCATCTGTTTCCTTAGTCCTGTCTCCAAATACACGCAGGCTCTGACAACTTCACCTACTCTTTTACTACTTTTAATTTGTTTTTAACTTTTAATTTTTTAAAATTTTTACTTTTTATCTTTTACTTTTTTAAATTCAAGATAAGGGACAGTCCCTGGAAGGACGCAGCTAATACAGGATAATCAAGACAACCACACTTAAAAAGGGGGCCACAAGTAGACATATTCCCATGGGGAGACTACAGAAATTCTAAATTTCAGAAATCACTTTCAGCATTGTTCAGAGAAGTATAGTAAATGATGAGCCACCACCAACCACCACCTGTCCGTGCAAGGGATCGGCTTGGTATGAGGAAGCCAGTTTGGTTTTAGGAACTGAGCAGAGAGAGGGTCATTGTTTTAGACAGAGGAGCTGCAGAAATCCATGTCACCTGAGCCATTGCCATAAGTCACTCTTCTTTGTTGCCATGCTTGAGCAACTCTAGGGCTTCTCCACACAGCATCTGCGACAATATCTTTGATAAACACATTGGATCATGCCAATTCTTGCTTAAATCTTCAGTGGATTTTCACTGCTCTTAGATTAAAACTCAAAATAATTACCCTGCAGGATCTGGGCCCTGACATTTTCAACAGCTTTGTCTTCGTTCACCGTCCCCTCCCCAACACATACGCTCAAATTGCTCTCTGTGCAGTTCTTCATTTCGGGATGTTCTTGTCAACTGCCCTGCCTGCTGAAGAAGGCTCTCCTAGCTGCACACACTGGAGGGTTCTCCTCTACCATTCAGGACTCCTGAATGTTTTTCTAGAGAGCTCCAATACATAGGAAACATGGCTCCTAAACAGCATCAGGTTGTATATTTTTATATTTTCATAGTACTTATATACGTTTGCTGTTTACCTGACTGATATCAGTCTCAAATATGAATTGTATGAGGATGATGACCACATTGGTCTTGCTAATCACAGTGGACTTAAAAACCAGCACAGTGCTTGATGCAAAAAAAAAAAAAAGAGTGTTTGATGAATATTTGATAAAGGAATGAAAATCTGTTCCCCAAATAGAAAAAGAGGGCCTGAAGCCAAATCCTACTTGAGGAAACACTTGAGGGTGAAAAAGTCACATTTACAGTAAAATCTGTCAAGAGTGAGTTTGTGTCTGTGACTTGTATTTGTTTTGAGAGGGCAGGTGGTGAAGAATTGGCAATGTCAGAGAGGAAGTAGGTCTGGGGGTAGAATGATGAAAGAAGAGGGAAGCAAGCTACAGAGAGCATTCTGGGAACTGGTCTCCACTTTCCTGGTGGCTGGTTTTGGAGAGGGGCACTCAGAAGCTCTGGCTCCAAGGGCAGAGTCAGTTCCCTTGAAGTTTTACAGATGTTCTCTCCTCATTAACCCTATCAGCTGCTTGAAAGGCTCCGCCCCTGCAGCCATTGGCCATTGTGTTGTGGAATGTTCCGAAGAGGCCATAGATAAAATAGATCTCAAATCTCTTAAACTATGTTGAGAGAGAAACAGGTCCTCTTCTTAGGTTAGGATCACATTCCCTACCCTTCCTACTTTTTTTTTTTTATTTCTATGAAGTTCTTTA